AACAAGACAGCCTTATTCCTCCAAGGCTTACCTAGGATGCAGCTCAATCTAGCTACGTAATTGCTTTATAGAGAATAGAAAATGTAAAGCGAAAGGTATAGTATATATGATAATATCAGTTATAAAACTTTTTAATGTTTTGATGTTTGCTATTATTCCTCGATACCTAACTTAATGAGTTGCATGGATAGGCCAGCTTAAAAAAATTGTAATCATGGGCCTTCATTCAAGTTTGAGATACTGTAATCCTAGAGGTGTAAATCAGACCATGGCACTTCGGTTTTGAGGCTGCTATGCACATTCGATTGAAATACAATTTAGTCTACAAGTGTAAACCGATCCATGCTGGATGATTTTGAGGTGGCCTGGCTCAGTATCGACCACGCCAAAAATTATATGGACCCGACACTCCCATTAGCGTGCCCCATTGGCTCATACCAGGCATGGCATACGAACTTTGCAATTCAATCTTTTCGCCTACATTTTTTCCACTTTTTGTTTATATACATGTCTGTGTGGGCTGATCCATGCGGGTTGTCGACCTCTACAGTCGAGTCCGGCACGGTTTGACCGTAGAACTAGGCTGGCACACGACACAACCCGTCACAAGTCTGGTGGTCATCCATATCTTTTCACCCTTGCTGAACCCGATTAGACCAGCCTAGTTTGCATTACTGAATAGATGGAATTGACAAATGCTTCGTTGGTCATTGACATAAGAGTACGAGAGCCTATCATTAATAGCATTAAATATGTTCCATTTCTTAACCAAAGATTTGGAAACACTGTTGAAATTCTTAAAGCACTATAATTGACACAGAAAATTTTCAAGAAACTTTGATTACAAACAGATTCATCATTTAAAAGTTGGTAACACATCACATAATCACCCACTCGGTACAGAAAGCTGTCGATGAATTGATAAAGAAAATAAAGGCTGCAGCAAGTAACATTTAAATTTATAATGGTGCACTATGATTGAGCAGGTGCGGAATCAAATCACATTATGCAGTACAAGTAGAGAATTTCAAAAAGAGAATAAATGTTGGATATTTTTCAGCTTTGCACTGTCTCAACACTCACATTATTCAACTTCAAGAAAAAACCAAGAGTGTGTAGATCTAAGAAAAGGAGGTGATGTAGACTACTGTAACACAGACATGCATGACTCGACATGATTACAAAATAGACAACAACGTGTCTAATGTTATTTTACTAGCAGGCCTAAAGATGTCGAGCAAGGCCAGCCTCAACCCATTACAATTAAGGAGGCGTGCTGCTCCCACGGCCCTAGAGGTGGGGCCGATAGTTCCGTTTCCATGTATATGAAACAGCCCTTCCTAAGAATGAAGGTTCCAAAAAAACTTGGTGAATAATAGAAACAAACATGAGATAACCAATGTATAAGGAAAATAATGAGCAAATTGATCGG